GAGACTTTCTTTATATATTTATTTATGTAGTTACTTCATGTAGCCGACACAACTAGTTTGGAATTGAGGCATAATTGATTGATCCCTTGATATAATTTTCATTTGAACTTTCTTTTTACCAATGTATAGAGTTGCTATTGTCTCTATATCCTCCACGTAAGTCCCCTAGCTCAATTGATAATATTTTAAAGATTTAATTCCTCATTGTAAATTACTGAACTCTGTTGTTATTTTTCATCTTATTCACTATTCTTTGTTGCTTTGATTGACAGATCACTCATATGGAAATGATAAAAGGAATTCAAGGGCATGGTTACTATGACGAACTTGTGGTTCCTATCATAGAGAACACTGCATATGAGAGAGAACTCACAGAATCTCTTGCTGAAGCTGTATGTGTCTCCCTCTTCTAAAAGTCACACCCTTCCATTGTGCATCTGCGCTTGTTTAGTTTTTTAGTGCTGCTTTAACTTAGTTTTTAGATGCTTTTACTGGAACTTCTATAAGTACATCAACTCCATTCCTGTTTTTGTTTGACTATGATCACCAAACATTGTGCTAACAGTTTCCACTTGCAAATTCAATGTCTTGTGGCTATGATCACCAAAACCTGATGATTCTATCCTTTGAGTGACACATCTCTATGAAAGTATTGAACTTTTTTCCATGTTGAACAGATCAAAGCTTACCCAAAAACAACAGCTGTGTTGGTCCGCAACCATGGTATATATGTATGGGGAGATTCTTGGATCAGCGCTAAAACACAGGTTTGTGTCATGAATTATATCAGGAGGGGAGGGGAGGGTTTGATATGGTTAGGTAGCAGATTTTAGAACTAATAAGATTAACTTAACTTGTGTTAGTAAGTTAAGGATGACCTCTGAAGGAGTTTCTATGTACATCTTGTAGTCTACTTAAGAATGTACATATGGAAACAGTCTTCAGATCAATTAGTTTAATGTATCTGAGATGTATGTTTCATTTGGCACTCTTCTAACTGACATACTATCTTCCAGTCTGAGTGCTACCACTACCTCTTTGATGCTGCAATTAAACTTCATCAATTAGGAATTGACTGGACAACACCAGCTCATGGTCCCATTCAGAATGCAAAAATATCTGCACTTGCTCCAAATGACAGCATAAAGCCATCAAGGGTAAGCACCTCAACAGTTTAGACTATTCTCTTACTTTCTTGAAATCTAAAGATTTACGTTTATGTGCCGTAGGTGTTTCCATTGAGTTCTTATTGTTGTCTGCATTGTGATATTTATACTTTCTTGCAGCGGTGCATCGTTTTGGATATCGAAGGAACCACTACCCCAATATCATTTGTTACTGATGTTCTATTCCCTTATGCACGTAATAATGTTGGGAGACATTTGGATGCAACATATGATTCAGCAGAAACTAAACAGGATATTAAGTTATTACGCGCTCAAGTAAGTAAACTTACAGAGAAAATAGCTTTGTGAAAAAGGTTTTCAAAAGAGTTGAGCATTTTTCTTGGAAAAATTTGTGGTGAGATGTTATTATGTCGTAATGGTATGTCTGTTTTGGAGAACATTAGGAAGGTTTAACAGAATTTTTGGGTGTAACTGTAACAAACCTGAAAAGCTTATGAGAAATCCAAATCTGGATTGCTAAGGTTGTGCGAGGCTAGGAATGACATCCAACCTCCTTGGAGCTGCTGAATAAGTTCTGCCAAATGGCCCACAGAAGTGTTATCCACAATTTAGTCATTTGTCTTGTTTTCCTTGGCGTGTTAATGGATGGATTAGAAGTGTCCACATTTGGCATTTAATGCATCGTAATTCATATGAGTTAAAGAAAAAAAACTATCACTACATTTCTTCTTGGTAATGCCGTGATGCTGATTTTTTATAGGAATATTTTCTGTTTCAATTACCAAATTTGCCTACTTTTATATGTAAAACTTTTCCTATTGGATCAGTTGCTCATGTGGTCTCATGAATTTCATGTTAGATAACATTAAACACTCGTTACAATTTACATCAGCACCACCTATTTGAATTTTCTGATAGCAAGATAAAAGTTCTTTTCATAAACACTAATTAGCATATTGTGTCTTTGACCTTTGCACGCAATCATACATACTTCTATTCAGAATTTGATTGCTGGAGCTATGTTTACTATGCTTTGTCTTTCTCTGAAACCAGTGTAAAGTGTCAAGTGATGCTTGAAAGGACATTAAGAAATGTCAAATATATCAGATAGGGGTCATCTTGTTTGTAGATTGCTGAGAAGAAAGGTGTGGGGGGAGGGGGGAGGAGAGTTTTGTAGGTGGGTGTCTGGCATGAGTTTGGAAAAGCGGAAGCTAATCCTGATCCAATTTGAGGGTGTTCATTACAGGGTCACAGTGCAGATGTGTGGTTTCTCATACATTGAGTCCATTAACACACAAGATGCTCTAGTTTCTTCTCCTTACTAGGTCATCATTCGGTGTTTTTCACATACAACTGTCTGCTTTCAAATTTAAAAAGTATAAAACAGTACAGATCCGTTGTGCTGGTTTTTTTATTTTTTAATCTTACCTCCTTTGTGATGTTCTTTCAGGTGCAACAAGACCTGGAAAATGGTGTTGCTGGTGCTGTGTGTATCCCAGCTGATGATGCTGGGAAAATGGAGGTAATTGCAGCTTTGGTCGCTAATGTTGAGGCAATGATTAAAGCTGACCGCAAGATTACTGCCTTGAAAGAGTTACAGGTGAGGACAGTGGTGGTGAAATTTCACCTAGGCCCCTCAAATAGATATAAATGTTATACAGTTTCATCTAATAGTTGCTTACAGTTCATTCTTTACTTCATATTCTAATACTCAGGGACATATTTGGCAAACTGGGTTCCAGAACAATGAGTTAGAGGGACTTGTTTTTGATGATGTACCTGCAGCTCTTGAGAAATGGACTGCTTTAGGCATCAAGGTTTCATCTGTCCCTTTTTTCCGTACACTGCATTCCTCATTTTAGTAAGCGAGAGTTCACTAGTTGTATCCAAATTTTGTTGCAAATGAAAACAATTATGATCATCGAAACAGTAGCTCTATTTCTTCTTGAAATACTCCAGCGTCCTGTGTGGTTTAAATGTTTTCTTTTTCTTCTTCATTATCAGAAAGAGGTAATGCTGAAGTCTATAAGCTCCATCTTCTAGTCAGATTAACTAGTTTTTTTCTCTCAGGTGTACATATACTCAAGCGGCAGCAGATTGGCACAGAGGCTTCTGTTTGGTCACACAAAACACGGAGACCTGAGAAAATTTCTCTATGGGTTTTTCGATACAACAGTGGGGTAAATTTCTACCTTTCAGTGGGTTTTCTTATTTTGGTCCTTTTTGTCATTTGAAGTAATTCATCTGTCTTCTCCTGTTGTAGCAACAAGAGAGAAACAAAAAGTTATGCAGAAATTACAGCGTCGTTGGGGGTAGATAATCCATCAGAGATTTTGTTTGTGACAGATGTCTATCAAGAAGTCACAGCTGCAAAGGCAGCAGGTAATGTCATGCTCATTTTGTATGAAAACAACTCTATATTTGATATTTGTTAGCTTTCTCACTCTTCAATTGAAACCAAATACTAGCTGAAAAAGTAGGTTGGTTTTAAGTGGAGAAAGAAAGAGGGATGTGTGCATTATCCACCGACTCCGAGTTCCAAACCATGTGCCAATGCCTTGGGGGATTTCTCAGTTATTAAAAAAAAAGTAGCTTGGCCAACAACTGTGTTGCCAATTTAGGATGTTAGAACTTCCATTTTGGTGTGATTCCTCCTCTCAATCCCAACAACTAGGAGCTCATCTAGACAAATTTGTGCGGCTGTAGCCTGTGTGATGTTTCTTATACTAAAAGCTATACTTCACCAAAAAGATGTGCATATGCTTCACTAACATTGTTGCCCTTTCTCCTCCTTCAGGTTTGGATGTGATAATCTCCATCAGACCTGGAAACGGACCTCTTCCAGATAATCACAGGTTCAGGACAGTCAAATCATTTTCGGAGATCTAAAGATGGAATGTGTTATTCTATAAACATCTTCCATGTATTGTGTAACATTAACATAATAAAAAGTAGGTTGGGAGTTGATCAATTGTCAAAAAGTAGAGCCAATTGAATCACAATATGCAGCTCTTATCTACTTTCTGCGTGTTCTGACTTATGATTAGTGTCAACTAGTCTTCTTGTTCTTCTTGTATTGAGATGGTAATAGTTTTATCTTGTGTGAACTATTGTTGGAGATTGATGTTTTCATAGTTCCATTTTCAAAGACTAGCTTGCATGATTTCTATTCATCCAATATATATCAGATCGAATGGAACTCGCGAAAAAGTAGTGAACACTTTGTTGAGGAACGGAACTTCTGCTCTTTCTCTACTAGTATATGGTCTCAATAGGTCCTATGTGTTTGGCATCTTAGTTCACTCTTAAGTATTCGTGTTGTATACATGTTTCAAGTAACTGGAATCGAGTGAGTGTAGAGGAAGGATTGATTTTCAATTTCTTCACCCCATTTACCTATTGTCAAAGCACTTTCTCGAAATTGTAATTTCTATCGAGACAGGAAGGAATGAATTAGAAAGCAAATGATCTTGTTTTTTTTCTTTTTTTAGTTTTTCACTTGGTGTCTGGTATTTACTGGAGTTTAATTATTTTGGATTCAGTCCACATAGGACTCCATTTGGGGGAATGGCTCGATCAAGGATTTTTCCATACTCGTTTGAGCCTGAAACCTCTGGTTAAGAAGCAATAACAACAAATGAGACCCTATCAATTAAAAAATATTTATTTTATTTTTATTGTTTAAAAGAAACAATTTGAATTGACTTTTTTAGAAAAAAAATGAGTATTTGATAGTTATATTGGAGTCGGATTAAATTTGAATTTGGTTCGGTATGTCTATCAATGAGAATGGATAAGAGCCTTATTACTTTTCTCCCCCAACCTGTTCCCCCGTGTCTCTCTCTTTCCGTAATTTAGGGTTTGATCAGCACCATGGATGTTGAGGCAGCCGAGTTCCAAGAGTGGGAGATGATTCCCTCGAACCGGGCATCTGACTCGGAACCGTTAGCTCCGGATGGTTCAGCCGGAAACACGAACGGTGTCGATGAAGTTGGATCTGAGACGATCGGTGTGATTCAACCCAATTACTTCTCTCTAGACTCTCAAATCAGGTATATGGGTACGTTTTCTGCGGATGGAAGCGAGGAGGACTCTGAAAAATCGGATAATCCGAGTTGGATTGAGCCCGATTCTGAAAACAACGAGTTTACCATGAAGAATTCTCGCGAATTCTGGTCGGATTCCGGCAGTGAGGGTAAAAATGAATTGGGTTTTGAAGAGATGAAAAGTGAAAATGGTGAAGAATTTAGGCCGGATTCTGTGAAATTTGGTGCTGGAGAAAATAGTCATCTGCAACAAGTTTCTGTTGAAGAAAATCAGGAAAAGGAAAATGGAAATGTTGAAGGTGAACAGAGGAGGGATGCAGGGGACCAAAAGAAGAGCCTAGTGTGGTGGTGGAAGGTGCCAATACATCTTGTCAAGTATTGTGCTGCTTTTAGAGTTAGCCCTGTGTGGACATTTTCTGCTGCTGCTGCTGCTATTATGGCTTTTGTTATTTTGGTTCGTAGGTTGTCTAAGATGAAGAAAAAGACCAAGGCATTGAAGCTCAAACTAACTGTGGATGACAGGAATGTATCTCAGTTCACAAACCGTGCTGCACGCCTTAACGAAGCATTCTCTATTGTGAAGCGGGTTCCTCTGATTCGGCCACAGTTGCCAGCCGCTGGAGACACAGTGTGGCCTCAGATGACTTTGAGATAGACTGTTATATTTCCCCATTTGATATGTTGTGTCGCTTCTGTGATTGTATAATCTACTATGTTTACTGCTGTTGTTTGATCTCAAACCTATGTATATTCACTGGCCAAAGAAATTGCTTGCTTATGCTTTTTTAAAAAGAAACATAAGAGATCAAAGCTGTTGTTTGATCCCAAAGGTGGTTTTGCTTGTGCCTTCAATCTGGTAAAATTTCCCAATTTCTATTCCAAGATTTGATTTTTATGGGGTTCATCATGTTTTGATTGCTGAATCCATTACATAATTGGAAATGTTGGATTCAAAATTTGATCTTTATTGAATTTCTTTGTACTTTGTACATATATATCTATATTTCTGTGTTAAAATGTCAAGGTGGAACCATGAGGTCTTAGGATCCAATCCCAGTAGAGACAAAAACAAAATACTAGGTGATTTCTTCTGATATGTCCTATCCTTGGTGTAGAGTTACTTGGTAGTTGATACATGTTGTTGTTGGGAGATGGCACGGTCTGAAGAGGGTAGAGTGTACCTTCCTTATATTTTTGCGGGGTAGATATGTTGTTTCTGATAGACCCTCCACTACAAAGAAATGTAATCGGTGCAGGAAAGTAAGAAAGAAAAAGAGCCAACAAAATAGCAAATATACAAAACAAGTGTAACAACATATTTTTTTTTTTATGACAAGGGAAACCCGCAGCCGCTACTATGCAATAGCTCACAAATCACATGGGAGAGGTAACCCGCACTAGGCAAGCTTGGTGCGACAAGCTCGACCCAGAAGGCAAAACCCCTTGCTTTCGCTGGCAAGGGGTTTTGAACTTGAGACCTCCAACATGGAAGTCCCAAGCCCAAACCACTGGGCCACCCCGAAGAGTCTTGTAACAACATATATTGACAAACCGAAGAAAAGAAACTACGTGATACATAAATTATACTACTAGAAGTATGATAACATTTGATTATCTACTAACCTTCTATCCTAATCCTCGACCTACATATCTAACTATCTAAGGTCATGTCCTCAATCAGCTGAAGTTGTGTCATGTCCTATCAATCACCTCTCCAAGCTCCTGTTACAACCAATCTATCACATCTCCTCATTGGTACATCCTAGCACTTCCTCTTCATATATTCAAACCATCTCAGTCTTGCTTTCCTCATTTTATCTGCTACGAAGTCAATACCACATAAATGAGGATGGGGAAATACTTCAATTTCTTTCCATTATTGTTGGATCTTGGAACCATTAACACATCACTTGTAAATTGAAGTTTTACCAATTTGAAAAGTTGTTGGAACTAAGGTATAGTGGAAGTTGAATTGTTGTTTTTGGTTATAATTCAGAAGATAATTAAAGTTGGCATTATTCTCAGCTGTCTAAGCTTCATAGTTGAATAGGGAAAAAAGATCTTTTTCTTCTATGGGGGGATAATTGTTTTGCAGTCATGTCTATTTGAAATACTGGAAACAGCCTATCTACCTTCCAAGGTAGGGGTACAGTCGACTACCCTCCGAAGACCCCATTTGTTGGATTATACTAGGTATGTTGTTTTTGTGTTGTAGATTATTCTTTCAGTGTAATTGTTATGTTATCTGTAGTCCTTTCTTTGTTTTTGGCTAGCTCAACGAACTTAGCATATTTCATTTCTCTCAGGTTGACCTCGGTATCATCTTACTATTTCTCTGCTGCCATCTTGAACTTATTCTCTCTCTCTCTCTCTCTAAATAATCTAGTAACAGCCCAGACCCAGGATTATTAGTGTTGTAGCCTGCAATTTCTCAGATAAAGCATGATTCCTTTGGAATGGAGAGTGTGATCTCATATTAGTTGATCTATAAACGAACTCTCTATTTTCTTTTTGATTGACTATTCTACTTCACTGGAGGGCCAGCGTCCAAGGACCTGCCATACCACTGATCTCACTTAAGCGCTTGACGTCAGAAATAGCAATAAGAAGAGCAGGGTTAAGGATCACTCACGTCACGGGCTGTAAGTTTCTTCCTTTTTTTTCTCCTCAGGCATATGTGATGCTTAATGCTGGTGCCGTTATCCACAGTCATGGAATGGAACCCTGCCTTGTAACAATGCTCAATCCACTAGCAAAAGAATTTCAGGTAACTATGCTACAAACTTTTTTTGAAGTTAAACACGATCTTGATGTGATGCCGATATATCCTTTTGAGTCATCAAGAAAAAAGAAAGGGGGATTTGGTAGGCTGAGCTCCAAATGTTCAATACAGTCCAACGTCCATATAATGCTGACTAATGACATTTTGGCTTTTTATTTGGGAGTATAAGTTTTCTTTCAAATAAAGATACTAGTACTTTTCCTAACATCACATGAAATGTAATCCTAATGCATCTTCCCTTTGCCTGCAACTGTATAGGCCAGACTTTCTCTATATATTTGTCTATGTAGTCATTTCATGTAGCCGACACAACTAGTTTGGAATTGAGGCATAATTGATTGATCTCTTGATGTAATTTGCATTTGAAACTTTCTTTTTTTCCAATGTACAGAGTTGCTATTGTCTCTATTTCCTCTACCTAGTACCCCTAGCTCAATTGATAAAATTTTAAAAGATATCTAATTCTGCATTGTAAATTATTGAAACCAATTGTCATTTTTCATCTCATTCACTATTCATTGCTGCTTTAATTGACAGATCACTCATATGGAAATAATAAAAGGAATTCAAGGACATGGTTACTATGATGAACTTGTAGTTCCTACCATCGAGAACACTGCATATGAAAGCATATAGAGAACTCACAGAATCTCTTACTGAAGCTGTATGCCTCTCCCTCTTCTAAAAGTCACACCCTTCCTTTGTGTATCTGCACTTGCTTATGTTTTGAGTTCTGCTTTAACTTTGTTTTTAGATGCTTTACTGGAATTTTATAAGTACGTTAACTTCATTCCTGTTTTTTGTTTGGCTATGATCATCAAAACATCAAGGCTTACAGTTTCCCATTTGCAAATTAGCAAAATACATGTATAGCTATCACTCATTCAATTTCCCATTATTATCATCACAAAATCTGGTCACTGTCTGTGATTCCTATTCACTGCTGAAGTTGTAACAGTACATGGAAGAAAGTAGACCGGTTTGGCTTAATAAAATATTCGTAAAGCATTGATTGCAGTAGATATCCTTCCCCTATAAGAGGAGGAAAATTTATTGAATAGTTCTTCTCATTTATAGAGCTGTTGTAACAACACATGGAAGAAAATGGCTTAGGTTCCTTTTTACATTTTTATTTTGGGCTCAGTTCCCAAAAAGGGGTAGGCCATTAAGCGAACGGCTGGCTTAATCTTAACAAGTTATGTCAAGCTATTAAGATTGGCTGCAGAACATACTCTACCTTAAAAGATAGGAAGAAGTCATGCCCCCAAGGCCTAGCTCAAGTGGCAAAAGGTGGAGGATTTGTGGCTTAGGTCGTAGGTTCAAGCCCCACACCATGCAAAGCGAAGCCCGATATTTAAGTGGAGAAGGGTAGAGGGGCAGGCCCATTATCCACCGAGTTTAAAAGGCTGTGATTGGTCCAAAGGGCGGGTCACAGACGGATTTCTCGGTTATCAAAAGAAAAAAAAAAAGAATACCTTTTATATAGAAATTTCTATGTCACTCCTTTTCCTTTAATCTCCTTCCATTAAGCGAACGGCTGGCTTAATCTTAACAAGTTATGTCAAGCTATTAAGATTGGCTGCAGAACATACTCTACCTTAAAAGATAGGAAGAAGTCATGCCCCCAAGGCCTAGCTCAAGTGGCAAAAGGTGGAGGATTTGTGGCTTAGGTCGTAGGTTCAAGCCCCACACCATGCAAAGCGAAGCCCGATATTTAAGTGGAGAAGGGTAGAGGGGCAGGCCCATTATCCACCGAGTTTAAAAGGCTGTGATTGGTCCAAAGGGCGGGTCACAGACGGATTTCTCGGTTATCAAAAAAAAAAAAAGATAGGAAGAAGTCATAGATTCCTTTTTCTTCCCTTCATCTTTGGAAACCTACGGTGGATAAGCAGTGGGAACACTTTCAGCATGATGATGCTTGTCCTTTCCACTAGATTAGTCTTTTATCTGCTCAAACAATTTAATTATTTTTTATTACATGCTATTGTATCTGTATGACTGGTAACTGAAGTGTAAATCGATCTTGTTTTGGCAAGAAGAATAAACTAAACTAATTGCATGGGTAAAAAGATGTTTACCTTGCACGGAGAGCTCAGACCTACTAGCTCTTCCCTTGAGGTGCTATCCACCACTTCGGGTTAGTAAAAGCAATCTTGATCTAGTTTCAAATTCCTTCTCTTCAATGGAAACTCTAGATCTTCTCTTTATTAGCTTCAGTGTAATGTGCATCTATAAGTCAACTAGTTTTCTGCCTTTAGCATTGTTATAGCACTGTGCTTTCATATCCTTGTCATACATGTTAGTTACTAACCAACAAAAACTGGTTTTCGCAGTACGTTTTTTTTTTAAGAATTGAAGTGCTATCATTTGTAGTAAAGAGAACTAGTCCACGCCCATAATCCTACTTTTGAAGTTCCAAACATAGTTCAAGATGTATGCTAATCAGCACTCTTAATTACAACAAATGGTCTGGGGTTCACTACAGAAGTCTAGAAGTAAACAATTAGCCCATATAGCATACAAAAATATACTAGGCACACCTGATGCTAGGAATCAAGAAAAACATCATCCCCTCCTCTCTATCTTTCGTGGATGAGTCGGGAGTTATGCAGAAGAAGTTCTTGATCATCACTAATGTAGAAAAACAAAGCACCTTTAGCTGTATATATGGTTTTCCTTCTGGTTATTAAAAAAATTGGTTTTCCTTAAATGATAAAAGCTGCTAGTATTAGTGTAAGGAGGACATTCCATACGAAAATGCTAGTCACTAAATACAGTTCTATTATTATTCACTCCTTTGTGTAACCAAATTTGGGTTTTAAGAGTAAACTTGATAGGTTATATTTTAAACATAGAGTAGAGAAGTCTTGCCG